AATGCAAACTGTAAGTGGTAGTCGTTTAAAAGTAAGTAGTTATATAAGTACAAGCCATTACCGAGTTTTTGCTGGGATAGTTTATATTTCTTTCTTAAAAACCCCTAATACCTACCCATTTAGTAACAACTATACATTTTTAATGGTATAACTATTATAAACAATTACCAATAATTTAACAATTAATGATGTCTTTAAAGAAGCAAACGGTATTTAATTATTTAGCATGGTAATTAAGTTTCTTAAAGGTCAGTTTTATTATGACGCTACAGTCGTTCGAAAGTAATTAACTATACCCTACAACATGGTGTAAGGGTATTACCAGTTTGTAATCATTTTGGAATATTTTTCTCAACAGATTTAGAATTACATAGATAGATAGATAGATAGATAGATAGATAGATAGATAGATAGATAGATAGATAGATAGATAGATAGATAGATAGATAGATAGATAGATAGATAGATAGATAGATAGATAGATAGATAGATAGATAGATAGATAGATAGATAGATAGATAGATAGATAGATAGATAGATAGATAGATAGATAGATAGATAGATAGATAGATAGATAGATAGATAGATAGATAGATAGATAGATAGATAGATAGATAGATAGATAGATAGATAGATAGATAGATAGATAGATAGATAGATAGATAGATAGATAGATAGATAGATAGATAGATAGATAGATAGATAGATAGATAGATAGATAGATAGATAGATAGATAGATAGATAGATAGATAGATAGATAGATAGATAGATAGATAGATAGATAGATAGATAGATAGATAGATAGATAGATAGATAGATAGATAGATAGATAGATAGATAGATAGATAGATAGATAGATAGATAGATAGATAGATAGATAGATAGATAGATAGATAGATAGATAGATAGATAGATAGATAGATAGATAGATAGATAGATAGATAGATAGATAGATAGATAGATAGATAGATAGATAGATAGATAGATAGATAGATAGATAGATAGATAGATAGATAGATAGATAGATAGATAGATAGATAGATAGATAGATAGATAGATAGATAGATAGATAGATAGATAGATAGATAGATAGATAGATAGATAGATAGATAGATAGATAGATAGATAGATAGATAGATAGATAGATAGATAGATAGATAGATAGATAGATAGATAGATAGATAGATAGATAGATAGATAGATAGATAGATAGATAGATAGATAGATAGATAGATAGATAGATAGATAGATAGATAGATAGATAGATAGATAGATAGATAGATAGATAGATAGATAGATAGATAGATAGATAGATAGATAGATAGATAGATAGATAGATAGATAGATAGATAGATAGATAGATAGATAGATAGATAGATAGATAGATAGATAGATAGATAGATAGATAGATAGATAGATAGATAGATAGATAGATAGATAGATAGATAGATAGATAGATAGATAGATAGATAGATAGATAGATAGATAGATAGATAGATAGATAGATAGATAGATAGATAGATAGATAGATAGATAGATAGATAGATAGATAGATAGATAGATAGATAGATAGATAGATAGATAGATAGATCTATCTATTTGCTGAAGTAATGTGTATATAAGTACACCAAATCCGAAAAAAATACACCTAGACCCCCATGGGGCCTGCTATGCGCTCCTTTACCAGTGTTTCAGATGGAAACCTACGACCTCAGATCTGCCAAAGTATAACACTAACCTTCCCGAGGCCATATTGTCTAATTTGTTAGTGACATATCTTTTAGACAGTCTAAATCATGATCTTTTACATAAAAGTAGTTGCACCGATTCTAGCGATTACAAATTTTCAAGAGTAGAAGGTTGTATAACGCCATACTCTTTCGACTCTCAACATTACGTTTCCATGAGAGCTAAGAGTTTACAAGGAAGTCAAGTATTTACATAGAATCTTGTGAAAATTTAAAAATACCATCCAGTCAAGGTGGTAGAAATTCTGTAATTATATAGAACCCTCTGGTAAAAAGTATAATACTGTCAATGTCGGATTGACCTCTAGCCGATAACAAAAAATGTTTGATAAATTGATTCCATGACAGATTGGCACAAATGTGTTAGATCATCTTTGGTGATGTTATAATTAGCTTGACTCGATTCTCACTATAATTGTGTTAAAAGATATAGTTAAACATAGGGTCGACAACGCTCTCTTACTTCTTTTGCACGTTCACTCATTTAAATGCACTTTTAAAACGAAATTATAAAAACGGTGATTTTTCTTTCTAAACCATACAAGTCAACTGATGAAATTTTCAGTGTAAATTGCATACATTTACTGTAAAATAAATCAAAAGGCTAAGAGGCAATAAAAATTCGAAAAATAAAATTATAAAATCAGAATAAACTAATGATGAAATGTATGATGTTAAAAATTGGGAAAATAGATCATCGTAATCTCGTATATTTATCGCAAAATTTTATTATTTTTGGTTTTGTTGTTTTTTTTTTTTTTTTTAATTTTTCGTTAACAATTATAAAAGTTGTTACGCTTAAAATTTACAAATAATAATAAAATGCAATGTGCATTTTTTAAATAAGATTTGAACTTAAATATTGTAATTTTAAATAAATATCTTTCAACTTTTATTTACACGAATTTTAATCTAATGCTTACACCTAGGTTCCATAAAAATAATATATTAATGTTGAATTCAGTCACTAATGCCTTCATAAATTAAACTGTAATTTATGATAATATAAGATTTCTCACATTCAGATTTGGTAGATTTTTTTTGATAAAAAATTATCTTAAAGTGTGTCTCTTTTAAAAATGATATTACCCAATTCACATTCGCTCCAGAAGACCGATTTTAAATCTTTTTTTGAGTAGATTAATCGGTGCATCTGTTATGAAACTCAACAGGTCACTGTTTAGTTTCAGTACCTTCTGAATTTGAAAAATACTGCAATAACCCAGGAAAATATTTAGTACTTTTTCTGTTTTACAAACCTTTGGTAAATAGCAGGGTTGGGGGGTAATGACTTCATTTTCAATTACAATTACATTTGAAGTAATTGTAATTGAAGCTTTACCAATTACAATTACTTGCAATTGTAATTGAAGTTTTGCCAATTACAATTATTTGTAATAGTAATTGAAGTTTTCACAATTACAATTACTTGTAATGGTAATTGGACTTTTGCCAATTACAATTACTTGTAATTGTAACTGAAGAAATTCCAATTACAATTACTTGTAATTGTAACTGAAGAAATTCCAATTACAATTACTTGTAATTGTAACTGAAGAATTTCCAATTACAATTACTTGTAATTGTGAATTTTGTTCTTTATAATTACATGTAATTTGTCATTAGTACTATCTTAATTACAATTACAAGTAATTTTAATTGGAAACTTCAATTACAAGTAATTGTAATTTTAAAAACTTTAATAACAATTACAAGTAATTGTAATTTTAAAAACTTCAATTACAATTACAAGTATTTGTAATTGGTTATTGCTTAATTACACATTACAAGTAATTGTAATTGACCATGTAATGAATTACTTTGTCTAATCATTACCCCCCATGCCTGGTAAATAGCCAGTAGACTGAGCCGTACACTTGTCCATAAAGTCCATTAGCTTAGTTCATGGACTTCACATACACTATCCATAGACTAGTCCATAAAATCCATTAGACTAGTTTATAAACTTACCATTGACAAGTCCACAAATAGACTTGTCAATAGCTAAGTCAATGCACTAATCCACTGACAATTTAATAGACTATTCCAAAGACATGTAAATAAAAGCCCAGCCAATAGCCTAGTTCATACACTAGTCCAGTATTTCTTAGTCCATATATTCCTAAAATACACCTTAAATTATATAAAAACCTTAAAAGTATTTTCAAAGTTCAAAAGTAATATTTTTGATACGATTTAGTACTATTTCAGTTCTAAAATGCTGGGCCCAAATTATGGCAAACGAGATCGATCGAAATCTCCATTTAGATTCTGTTGAGATTTCGATCGATATCGTATGCCGTAATTTGGCCACTGATTTATACTTAGTAAGCCCTTAGGCAGGGACATCAAGTTTTTATTATTGGTCAACATCTAACAAGTAAGAGTGTTATTCGAACAATCCGAATCTTACATAAATATATAACTTTTTAAGGGCTTTTTATAGAGGCTTGTGCCATTTATGAACCGAACTCGGCATAATTTGAGAGAGTGATTTATTATTGAAATAGGACCAGGGCAAAAATTGGTCAGATACTTATATAATTTATCGGCGGGATTTATATTTATATAAAAGTTATTTGTACCGAATTTCGTGATACTAAGTTTTGACAATTTTTATAGAGATAATAGAGGTCAAAACCTCATTTGGGGGCTCCGGTTGTATGTGGGCTAGGTGAAATAATGCACCGATTTCAACCATTTTCAATAGAGTCTATGCTTGTACCAAAAGAGCCGTAAATGCCAAATTTCATCAGCTTAAAAATTGCCACCTTTAGCGAGCGGACTCAGAAAGTGATTCCAACCCGATTGGTATACTTTATCTATATCTATGATTAATAATATTGATGGGTGTTACAAACATCAGCACAAACGCATAATACATCACCCACTATAGTGGTGTAGGGTATAAAAAACTATGTTCGATGAAATTTCAATAATTTTATTATTATTTTAAATTTCTTTTCATTTTCTAAATATTTGTTGGACCCTCCCTAATAATAATAAATATCCCCTAATTCATCATATAAATGATACTCAGTAGTCTTCGCACATAAAAAATATTTTATGATCAATGGTACGACATTTTTGGTAAAAAAATGCTAATAAAAGAAAGCTTCTCTCGGTAATAAACTTATAAACAAAAAAAAATGCGTTTATTTTTAAAATAATAAACAAAAAATGGTTTCTAAACAAATAAATGAATTAATAAAATAAAACAAATAGAATAGCAAAAAAATTATATGTTATCATTTTTATATAATAAACATGCCCAGCATTTTATTTGTTTATTAAATTGTTTAATAAAATACATATTTTTTTAAGGATTTTTATATACACTTTACTTAATTACTTAAACTACTTAATTTATTAACCAGCTTATATACTTATTTATCTAAATTTAAGACCAAGTTAGAAGAAATTTTAAAAATGAAATTACGTCTAGAAAATATTCCGCCATTTTCATTAAAGTAATAAAAAAAATGAGATTTAATAACAATTTATAATACAAAATACCTAAAAATACTTGTAGTTATAATAAACTTGTTTAATATAACAATAGATTATTATAAGCCTACAATTTACGGGCAAGATATTTGTGCTTCGTTCATTTTCGTCATAGGCTTTTCCTCCTTACATTCTTCACCTTTAAATACGTATTTATAGAAATTGGCCGAAATAATACTGGCTAAGAGAGGAGCTATCCAATAGATCCATTGGTCTTGAAGCTGATTGTTCCAAACGGCAGGAGCCAATGAACGAGCAGGATTCATACTGGCACCGGTGAGAGGACCCTGGAAATGGAAAGATATATTTTAAAAATTAAATTATTTTAGAAATATGTAGATACTTTTTTTGGTTTGATGTTGAATAACTTCTATACCAAATCTACTTTATAGTAATTCTTGAACTAACTATACTTGAACTAACTGTGATACACCGCTACATATGTCCGTCCATGTAAAAATTTTAATCAAAGTACAGGTTGCAATTTTTCAGATACTTAATTCAATGAAATTTGTTACGTGACCTTCTATTCTTCCAGGAACGAAAAAATCGATTAAAATCCATTACTTTAGGCAGCCCCGATACAATGGGACCTGCCAAATAGGGCTTTTGATCTCAAAGGGATCTTGAATACACTCGTAGCGCAACAAATGATCGGGGAGGAAGGGACGCGACGCCGGAGAAAAAGTAGGGCGGATAGGTGGCGGAGACGAGAGAACAGGGAGCCAGGGAACAACCAACGAACTAACCAACGAACGAACGAACGAACGAACGAACGAACGAACGAACGAACGAACGAACGAACGAACGAACGAACGAACGAACGAACGAACGAACGAACGAACGAACGAACGAACGAACGAACGAACGAACGAACGAACGAACGAACGAACGAACGAACGAACGAACGAACGAACGAACGAACGACGAACGAACGAAGAACGAACGAACGAACGAAACGAACGAACGAACGAACAACGAACGAACGAACGAACGAACGAACGAACGAACGAACGAACGAAGAACGAACGAACGAACGAACGAACGAACGTAACGAACGAACGAACGAAGAACGAACGAACGAACTAACGAACGAACGAAACGAAGAACGAACGAACGAACGAACGAAACGAAGAACGAACGAACGAACGAACGAACGAACGAACGAACGAACGAACGAACGAACGAAGAACGAACGAACGAAACGAACGAACGAACGAACGAACGAACGAACGAACGAACGAACGAACGAACGAACGAACGAACGAAACGAACGAACGAACGACAACGAACGAACGAACGAACGAACGAAACGAACGAACGAACGAACGAACGACGAACGAACGAAACGAAAGAACGAACGAACGAACGAACGAACGAACGAAACGAACGAACGAACGAACGAACGAACGAACGAACGAACGAACGAACGAACGAACAACGAACGAACGAACGAACGAACGAACGAACGAACGAACGAACGAACGAACGAAACGAACGAAGAACGAACGAACGAACGAACGAAACGAAACGAACGAACGAACGAACGAACGAACGAACGAACGAACGAACAACGAAAAACGAACGAAACGAAAACGAACGAACGAACGAACGAACGAACGAACGAACGACACGAACGAACGAACGAACGAACAACGAACGAACGAACGAACGAACGAACGAACGAACGAACGAACGAACGAACGAACGAACGAACGAACGATACGAACGAACGAACGAACGAACGAACGAACGAAAGAACGAACGAACGAACGGAACGAACGAACGAACGAACGAACGAACGAACGAACGAACGAACGAACGAACGAACGAACGAACGAACCGAACGAACGAACGAACGAACGAACGACGAACGAACGAACGAACGAACGAACGAACGAACGAACGAACGAACGAACGAACGAACGAACGAACGAACGAACGAAACGACGAACGAACGAACGAACGAACGAACGAAAACGAACGAACGAACGAAAGAACGAACGAACGAACTAACGAACTACGAACTAACGACGAACTAACTAACTAACAACTAACTAACTAAACTAACACTAACGTAACGAAACTAACTAACTAACTAAAACTAACTAACTAACTAACTAACTAACTAACTAACTAACTAACTAACTAACTAACTAACTAACTAACTAACTAACTAACTAACTAACTAACTAACTAACTAACTAACTAACTAACTAACTAACTAACTAACTAACCCTGTATGACCAAAATGTCCAACTTTCTTCTAAGTGCGGCAGTTCTTGAGCGATGGAGCTGAAAAGTTGTGTCTGGCCTACTATCCAGTAGTACTAACCTTGGTGCAACTTTGATCGAAATAGATTTTTTGAGATGGGTCACATGATACCAAATTGTACATATACTAAAAAAAAATATATCCATATACTAAAACCGACTATGTTCAGGTTTAACATAACAGTTGTGATAATAACAGACGGTTGAACGGGTATATTATTCTGGCCTTTTATTGAAATAGGTATCAAAATTTTTGCAATTTTAGTTTATACAGAAAAATGATTTTATTTTTTTGTTTCAGAGGTATTCCTACCATAAAGTGGTCCACGGTACACCCTATTTTATTTATATAAATTGCTATAAATTTAGGGGATTTGTTAACAATATTCGTTGACAGGTATCTCCCAAAATTTGTATAATATTATTTAATTTCAATTTCGCCCCTTTATTCTTGAAGCGCCCTAATGTTTGGGGAAAAAAACAAATATTTACAATAGTCGAAAGTTGGCACTTATCTTATTTGTTATTATATATATTACAAAAATGCGATTTTCATATCAAAAACTAATAAGATACTAATCAAACTATTTAGCTACAATAGTTGGTACTTTTTCTGTGGTCTTAATTTTGTATGTAGATAACGATCTGTTACTTTTGTATAGTTTAGTCACACATTTTTCCCTTAATCTAGCAACAATTAGTTATCAAAAATACATACATACTACATACATATGTATAATAAATTTAAAACTCGTAATACTTTTAGTTATGTTGATTTTTATTACGTTTTTTTTTTTTTTTGCGAATGACATTTGTGCGATTTTTGGTTATTTAATACCAATCTGAGTACAATTATCAGGGTTGTTGGATTTAAATGAAATTTAATACTTTTACGATCCAAAGTGCGATAACAATTTTGTTTTTTAATTTTTATTGATGTTTGAAATAAAACATTTATTAATTTGCAAATATGAAAAAAATTATTAGTTTAACAAGTTTTTATTAAAATCAATTTTAAATTTAAGTTTATGGGAACTGAAACATTTAACTTTTAATTAATCAGCATAATTTATTTGTATGCTTTTTTATGTTTTTTTTTTTTTTTTAATTTTATGGAATTTTAAGACTCAATAGTTTGCATATGACAGCAGCAACATATAAAAAACATGTGTTTGATTTTTTCTGAAATACTAATTAAAATGATGCTACTATAACGAGTTATAAGTTTGTTATAAATTATTTATTTTATAAATTCGGCTAAAGCTTGTGCCAGAAATTAATGACTGTATATTTGTATTTACTTAATAAATTTATTTTATTTTTTCTACATAAATTAAATATGCATTCAAATAAAGTTAAACAAAATATACGGAAAAAGTTCGTTTAAAAAAACTTGTCTGTAGATTTTTTTTAAATTTTTTCATTATAAAGTAATATGTATTTTATTTTGCGGTTGGTATTTTGAAGAGGAAATATCTGTCGTTTATTCTTAGTCATTGAACATGTAAACAAAGCATTATTTTGCTTTGAATATATGGAATCTGCTGATTGAATTCTATAAATGGAAGCCATTGTTGCATCCTATAGTCACTGGCGATAATAGCCCTTAGAGCAAATTAACGGTCAAATCTTATATCTGTGCTGAACTGACCAGATAAAAACTATTTAATGATTACGAAGTTTGGCCTCGACTTACTTAGTGTCTAGACCTTATTTCTTTTGACTACTGCTTGTTTTGATTAATGCAGAACTCTGTCGTTCTAAAATATATTTTGTATTTTAGAACAGGCATGGAAAATTCAGTACTATTTATAGTACTTTTTCAGTAAAAAAAAATATCATATTTTCAAATTTATAAACTTTTGATAAGTAGTCCACATAGTAGTAATTAGACGAGTCTATAGGCTATAGTCTCGTCTATAGTGTAGTCCATAGTCTAGTCTATAGTTTATACTATAGTTTAGTGTATAGTTTAGTCTATATTTTAGTCTATAGTCTAGTCTATAGTTTAGACTATAGTTTAGTGTATGGCTTAGTCTATATATTAATCTATATATTAATCTATAGTCTAGTCTATAGTCTAGTCTATAGTCTAGTCTATAGTCTAGTCTATAGTCTAGTCTATAGTCTAGTCTATAGTCTAGTCTATAGTCCAGTCTATAGTCTAGTCTATAGTCTAGCTACAGTCTAGTCCTATAGTCTAGTCTATTAGTCTAGTCTATAGTCTAGTCTATAGTCTAGTCTATAGTCTAGTCTATAGTCTAAGTCTATAGTCTAGTCTATAGTCTAGTCTAGTCTAGTCTATGTCTAGTCTATAGTCTAGTCTATAGTCTAGTCTATAGTCTAGTCTATAGTCTATAGTCTAGTCTATAGTCTAGTCTATAGTCTAGTCTATAGTCTAGTCTATCGTCTAGTCTATAGTCTAGTCTATAGTCTAGTCTATAGTCTAGTCTATAGTCTAGTCTATAGTCTAGTCTATAGTCTAGTCTATAGTCTAGTCTATAGTCTAGTCTATAGTCTAGTCTATAGTCTAGTCTATAGTCTAGTCTATAGTCTAGTCTATAGTCTAGTCTATAGTCTAGTCTATAGTCTAGTCTATAGTCTAGTCTATAGTCTAGTCTATAGTCTAGTCTATAGTCTAGTCTATAGTCTAGTCTATAGTCTAGTCTATAGTCTAGTCTATAGTCTAGTCTATAGTCTAGTCTATAGTCTAGTCTATAGTCTAGTCTATAGTCTAGTCTATAGTCTAGTCTATAGTCTAGTCTATAGTCTAGTCTATAGTCTAGTCTATAGTCTAGTCTATAGTCTAGTTTAGTCTAGTCTATAGTCTAGTCTATCAGTCTATAGTCTATAGACTAGTCTATTAGTCTATAGTCTAGTCTATTAGTCTATAGTCTAGTCTATAATCTGGTCCATGGAATAGTGTATAGTCCAGTACATAATATTGTCCATAGTCTAGTTTATAGTATAGTCAATAGTCTAGTTTATTGTCTAGTATATAGTCTAAACTATAGTCTAGTATATGGTCTAGTTTATAGTCCAGTTTATAGCCCTGTCTATAGTCTATATAGTCTAGTCTGTAGTTTAGTCTGCAGTCTAGTCTATAGTCAAGCGGAAAATTAGTTTAGTACTTAAAAACTTAAAAATACTATTTTGGTTATAAGTTAGTACTATTTTAGAACATGGTATCCTAGATGTTATCTAGATTCTCTTTGTTCTTTGGGCGCAGATTTTACCACATACATGGGAATATGGTTCGAAAAGAAAAAAAAAGAAAAATTAGCAGTTGTGTAGGCCCTACGTAAAACGCAATTTCAAACCTAAAGAAAGACAATACAGGTGGTCAACAAATTTAAGTACACAGGCACGAAAGGGAGACTTAGTCCCATTATGACACACTGGCTTTATAATAGCGTACATAAGAGTGTCCCGAAGAACTGCCTTCTTAAGAAACTCATGTCGAAATACCTCTCAATCGATGCATACTTATATATGAAAACGAAAAAAATAGAAAATATATTTTTGGGAAGGTGCCTCAATTCTCTACCAGTGATTGAAAGTTCTGATCTCAGTACAATATGTTAAAATCTCTTCGAAGTAGAGATCAAAATTTCCTTAATTTTGCCCACAATTACCTATAACTGTCAATCAACTCAAAACTAACTCAGCTCCAAACATATGAAATTTCATTGCAATATATCAAAACGAGTTATTTCCAAAAATAATAGTTTCTAAACCACTGTGCACCATTAAACATGAAGAAGTTAACTTGACCAATGTTAACCCGTTAGAGTCAAAGATAGCGTACTTAATAGCATGAGCGAGAGAATCTTACTCAACCGAATTGAATAATTGAACGATGGGAAGGACCATAAATGGAATATGATAAGAGCTAGTCCTGTATATGGAATATACATATTTCTTATACAGGACTACGTGCTCAACTTCACCAAATTAGTCGAATGTAAAAATTGTAGAAAATGTGGTAAGGATAGAGAAACACTGGAACATTTTCTCTGCTATTGACTTTGTTGAAATTAGATCAAACACTTTAGGACTATAATTATACATAATAAGAAATTACCTCCAGGAGTCGGAGGTAGCGGCCAACAGATATATTTTGATGATATGATGTTTATGTTTCTCTTTAGCCTATACTATCTATCTCTTGGACTGGAACAGATAAGTTATCTTCGTAAATGTTTTGAATCAAAACTATATTTCAATGAAATAATTAATTAATTTTTGATTACTATTAAAATAATATTAGATCCGAGTTGATCAACTAGGCCCCAATCTCAATTGCGCCTTTCATTACGATTATTAATTTATTTTTGATGATCATTGGAATAATAGATCCGAATGGACCAACTTTTACGAACACTCACTGAACCCCGTTCAGCTTACGAAGCCAAATAAAACACTAAATCATGTCTGTCTATATGGCAACGTTATGATAACTCCAATAATGAACTAGATATCGACTAAAACTTTTCTGAACCTCTGAATTATAATCTTTTCCATCAGTTTGTTTAATCAAAAAGAAGATTATAATTTGCAACTATAGTTGGTCTGAAACGCTTATCCCAGTATTTAAAAAGAATTGATTTCATCTGTAAAAATTGTTTAACAAAATTAAAACACACTTACCGCTGTTATGGACAACGAAGCGACTGTCAAGCCAAAACGAATGGGTACCGAATCCTGAAACATTTTATTACGAGGATCCCAAACACCACAACACACCCACACTAGGGTGGCTGTTATACACATTTCAATACCCACAGCCTGCCAAGTAGCAATACTCGAATGAACAGCAGTCAAGCATAAAGCATTACTTTTACCCGGCACCTGTATAAGATCCATAGGCAGGAAAACTTTAAGCAAACCATAACCACAAATGGCGCCTAAAATTTGAGCTACTATATAGGCTGCCACCATGGGCAAGGATAGCATGTTATAGATGTAAGAAGCCAAAGTAACGGCAGGATTTAAATGAGCCCCCGAACAGCAGCCAAAACATTGTATGATGATCAGAACAACAATACCGAAATTTAAAGATCTAGTCAAATTGTTGCTTTCAAAGAGATCAGATTCTATGCAGCCCATACAGCCCAGAAACATAAGCATGCCAGTGCCAATGAATTCACTTAAAAGACAGCATAAATTTTCCAATAGTTTAACCTTTTCCTTGGGGCTGTAAAATTGGGGAAATTATTTATAACACAAATCTTTTTTATATAATTTTCTTTATCAACTCTGTACCTTTGGGCGCACAAACATTTGAATAGGGGACTTTTCATTTTGCTTTTTTTTTGCAAACTTGATTTATAATTTTTTTTAATAATTTAATAATTTTTAATTTTTCAAAATAATTATTATTTTCCGGTATAAAGTTTATTTGTCTGGCCAACGGGTTTTCAACATACCAGTTATAATACGAATTGTTAAATGATTTGTTTAATTTGTTTTGCAAAACGTTTAAAGTCTATTTGAATATTTTTATGGATTCATACTCGTAAATGCCACAATTTTTAAAAGAAACGTGTTATTTAACAGATGTTTGATTTTGTACTAAGAAATATTTAGTTTTATTTTAATTTTTATGGCCAAGAACAGAAGCATTTGCATAGTATTTGTACTCGTGAATACATTTTATTTTGTCGGTTGTTTACAAGTATTTAAAATTGAGATTTTTTTGTTTTTGCCAATTTTTTTTCGGGGGGGTTTATTTCGGCATTGCATTCAATTATTTTCGTTTTTTTTGGCAGCTGCATTTATTTAAAATCATGTAAGTGCGTTACCAAAATTCACACGATCTTTTAGTTCACTTTTTCTTATAAGCACTATGGTTTGATTTTCGTTTTTAAGAGAGAAGTTTTTGAATTTGTTGGAGTTGCTTGAATGGTTGAATATGAACTGATGAAACCAACAGTTATTGAATGCCACCAAAGTGTTTTCAGTTTTTGGGTTTTTAATTCACAATTCTCGTTTTTTTCCGTATTCGTATTTAGTTTTGATGAAATTTTTTTTTTGTATTATTGTTTTAGCCAACGACTCCCTCCCACTACGCTCTGCTAATGTGACAAATTGTGGATCGTTGAGTATCCACACTTTTACGTTCGTGTTAACAGCACTTATACTCAAAAACATTTCAAATACACGTAAAAAAAATACTCAACTAGTTTTGATAACGATCAACATAACTTTGTTAATCTCTATTTATTTGACAATTATGATAATTGAATATTGAAGAATGCGCACTAACAGATTTATCGTAATCACCCAAAACACTTAATATGTTCTTAACTAAATATTTAGTTGTGAGTAAATAAACAAAATTTTGTGATAACTAACATTAATCATGTGAACTTTGTCAGTTGATATAATATATGTGTAGAGGTAAATTATGAATCATTACTCGGTTTACCCGATTCAAATGAATGAATTCAATGTTGCCGAGTTTGGACCTCAATGGTCCACAAGGTGCGTAGTCTTTGGTCCGCAAAATAGGACTAACTAACTAACTAAACTAACTAACTAACTAACTAACTAACTAACCTAACTAACTAACTAACTAACTACTAACTAACTAACTACTAACTAACACTAACTAACTAACTAACTAACTAACTAACTAACTAACAACTAACTAACTAACTAACTAACTAACTACTAACTAACTAACTAACTAACTAACTAACTAACTACTACTAACTAACTAACTAAACTAACTACTAACTAACTACTACTAACTAACTAACTAACTAACTAACTAACTAACTAACTAACTAACTAACTAACTAACTAACTAACTAACTAACTAACTAACTAATAACTAACTAACTAACTAACTAACTAACTAACTAACTAACTAACTAACTAACTAACTAACTAACTAACTAACTAACTAACTAACTAACTAACTAACTAACTAACTAACTAACTAACTAACTAACTACTAACTAACTAACTAACTAACTAACTAACTAACTAACTAACTAACTAACTAACTAACTAACTAACTAACTAACTAACTAACTAACTAACTAACTAACTAACTAACTAACTAACTAACTAACCTAACTAACTACTAACTAACTAACTAACTAACTAACTAACTAACTAACTAACTAACTAACTACTAACTAACTAACTAATACTAACTAACTAACTACTAACTAACTAACTAACTAACTAACTACTAACTAACTAACTAACTAACTAACTAACTACTAACTAACTAACTAACTAACTAACTAACTAACTAACTACAACTAACTAACTATACTACTAACTAACTAACTAACTAACATCTAACTACTACTAACTAACTAACTACTAGCTAACTAACTAACTAACTAACTAACTAGCTAACTAACTAGCTAACTAACTAACTAAGCTAACTAACTAGACTAACTAACTAACTAACTAACTAACTAACTAACTAACTAACTAACTACTAACTAACTAACTAACTAACTAACTAACTAACTAACTAACTAACTAACTAACTAACTACCTAACTAACTAACTAACTAACTAACTAACTAACTAATAACTAACTAACTAACTAACTAACTACAACTAACTAACTAACTAACTAACTAATACTAACTACTAACTAACTAACTAACTAACTAACTAACTAACTAACTAACTAACTAACTAACTAACTAATCTACTAACTAACTAACTACTAACTAACTAACTAACTAACTAACTAACTAACTAACTAACTAACTAACTAACTAACTAACTAACTAATAACTACTAACTAACTACACTAACTAACTAACTAACTAACTAACTAACTAACTAACTAACTAACTAACTAACTAACTAACTAACTAACTAACTAACTAACTAACTAACTAACTAACTGAACTAACTAACTAACTAACTAACTAACTAACTAACTAACTACTAACTAACTAACTAACTAACTACTAACTAACTAACTAACTAACTAACTAACTAACTACCTAACTAACTAACTAACTAACTAACTAACTAACTAACTAACTACTAACTAACTAGCTAACTAACTAACTAACTACTAACTAACTAGCTAGCTAACTAACTAACTAACTAACTAACTAACTAACTAACTAACTAACTAACTAACTAACTAACTAACTAACTAACTAACTAACTCACTAACTAACTAACACCAGATGCTCCAATATTGCACAAATTCTGTTGGAAATGGATGAAGTAGGAATAACGGTGCGGCACCTTCCATACAGAGTAAATACTAAAATATCCATATATCTAGAAAACACCTCGCACATCTGGAAAATCATTAGATCACGGGAAACATTGAAATCCTTATGAACAATTTGGGACAAAAATGGCCTTATTAACAATGCGGGAAACAACTAGAGAAAGAATTTTGCAAGGGCCACATATAAGTGATTATGTACATTTTAAAAGAAACACATTAGGACTTGAAATAGTGGGCATACAACCACCTATGTGAATTTAATAATTGGAGAGATATTGGAGCTAGAATCCTAAAATTTAGCAAGTGCAACTTTTAAGTGAATATGAACACTTCAATAGTGGGCGAGATACCTTCTATATGAATTTAATAATTTGGGCACCGTAATATTACGATTGGTTCAATCCACAGAGGCATCAGCTGACAATGTTAAATTAAATGGCGTATTGGACTGTAAGAGAGTCATAACCAAATACTCTTTAAGTGGTAAGCTCTCTCATTATATGGATACCAACTCAGTCGAGGATAATCGACAATGACAACACTATAAAGGAAAGTGAGTTTGAAGAACAAAACATACAAATCAGTTAGTCAATCTCTGCACAAGAATTTTATATATTTTTTTATACCCACCATCAAAAAAGATGGGGGGTTTATTGTTTTTGTCATTCCGTTTGTAACACATTGAAATATTCCTCTAAGACCCATAAAAGTATATATATTCTGGGTCCTTATTAGATTCTAAGACGACCTAGCCATGTCCGTCCCTCTGTCCGTCCCTCTGTCCGTCTGTCTGTCTGTCTGTCTGTTGAAAACACGATAGAGTCCAAACGGAAGTACCTGGAGAGCTGAAATTTTGCATAGATACTTTTAGTTGATGCAGTTCGTTTGGTATTGAAAATGGGCAATATCGGTCTACGATTTCGCCTAGCCCCCATATAAGGCCCCCTTCAGAAAATTACTTTAACGCTCATAACTGTCCAAAAGAAGCATCTATAGCGATGAAATCCAACATGAACATATTTTATAGGAACCTAAATCGCTTTGTAAAATTTTATAAGGATCGGTTCATAATTGATCCTACCCCCCATATAAGGTCCCCTTCACAAATGGCTTTAACGCTCATTACTATCCTAAACTAAAATGGTTCTAGAAAATTTGACGAGGATCGGTCCATTATTGACCAAACCTCCCCCCTAATAAGGTCCCTCTCAGAAAATGACTTTAACGCTTTTTACTACCTTAAAAATACAAGTACAGCGACAAAATTTGTTACAAATTTCTCTACCAAATTTTAGGAGGATCAGTCCATAATTGATCCTATCGATATACATAATATGTATGATGGTAAAATTATACATAGATGTAATGAATGAGAAAATTGTTTTGATAATAAAAGAAGCATCGATTCTTAAATATCAAAGTTTATTTATAAGGAAGCATTCCTTTTCGGCAATGTTTTGATGGTGGGTATACAAGATTCGGCACAGCCGAATATAACTTGTTTTTTTTTTTTGAAAATCACCTGAGCTTTACGTTCAGAATTACATACATGACTTAATCGATTGAGAAAGTGAACCACATACTATAAAATATATTAAAATAAACATTTGACAGATCTTTGGTCACTGTACATTTAACAGCAATTTCTTTTAGTGTATAAATATTTTTTTTTTATTATTTGGTTTTCACAGCAACCACAACATTTGATCATTTAACCATCAATAAATAAGTACGTACAACTAAGAGAAACATTTATTTATTTATTTATTTATTTATTTATTTTAGTATTCGTACTCGTAATACAAATTGTGAATTTTATTTATTTGTTTTTGTTATTATTGTCTCTTTTTTATGGTTGTTATTAATTATTATTGTTTTTATTGGAGTTTGGCTTATTGTTTTGCAAACAATGTCTGTCTGTCTGTCTCTGTTTATATTAACATAGTATACAGAACAGAACGAATAATTAATTGACACCATTAATATGCGGCGAATTTTATTTGGAAGCCCTTAAAAGGTGGCAAAACATATTTATTTCAATGAACTTATATTGGAGTAGGTGTGTTTTGAATATTAATTGATATATTTGATATAAATGAGCTGGTATGAACCTAAATTAATGATGTAGAGTTCAATGATAAAAGAAATTTAACTTTGTATTCCTTGATTTTAAGTTTTATGAAACTAAAACAGTGGTGCTCAAACACATATTACCATAGACTACTATAGTTTTATTTGTGTTGGTAAAGCAGCAGAGAACAGAATTCAATTCAAAATAAAAGTATACTAATAAAATGACTACAAACTATAAAGTATATGCTAACTGTCAAATATTTATTATGGATTTTGACAGCCAGCGTATAGCAACGTCTATATATAAAAAACTATCAACTGTTCTCTCATGTTCTCCTACATTCATTCGGCTTTCTCAACATTTTGTTGTTGTATTTCTGTGTGTATTTTAAAAACGTCGCGCACAGACCTTACTTTGACAAGTGCTGATCAGCAACTGATTTGATTTTGTTTTTCAAGTTGAGAGCAAACCAACTGATATTGCTCATTATAAAAAGATGAAGAATTAAACCTGTGTGTATGTGTATCAACTTAGCGTCAGCAGAATTTTCTTACCCTATCACGCGTGCTATGACACGGCCATATTGAGCTTCTCTGAACTAAAACAATTTATTTGTAATTAATTATTTGTAATCCTTTTTTATTCCCTCCA